GAGAGAAAGGAAGAAAGGTCAGAGGCTAGGAGGAAAGGAGGAAAGAGGGAGAGTGAAGGATGAGAGGCAAGGAGGTAAGAGAATGAGAGAGTAAAGGATGAGAGGAAAAGAGGAGAGAGAAAGGTCAGAGACAAAGAGGAAAGAAAAAGGGAGAAAGGGAAGAGAAAGGTCAGAGGCAAGGAGAAAAGGAGGAAAGAGAAAAGGAAAAAGGGAGAGTGAAGATGAGAGGTTAGGAGGAAAGAGAAAGGGAGAGTGAAAGTGAAAGGCAAGGAGAAAAGAAGATGGAAGGAGAAACAGAAAAGGGAAGAGTGAAAGGGGAGAGGAAAGGAGAAAAGGAGGAAAGAAAAAGGGAGAAAGGGAGAGTGAAAGTGAGAGGCAAGGAGAAAAGAAGATGGTAGGAAGAAGGAGAAAGGGGAAAAGGGAGAGGAAAGGAAGGAAAGGGATAGGGAAGGATGAGAGAAAGGGAGAGTGAATGAGGAGAAGCAAAAGGGGGAATGAAGGATTGAGAAGGGAGGGAGAGAGAAAAAGAGGGTAAAGAAGTATAAGAAAGTGAAAAAAGATATAAGGCCATCAATGGGGAAGCAGGAAAAGGGAGGGAGGTAGAGTGTGAGGAAGAATAAAAGAGGGGAAAATTAAGCATAGGATGATAGAGCTGCAAGGGAGCTTTAAAAATAATAGCTTCCACTTTTGTTTTTACATTTTGCCAAACACCTCCCTTACAAGCAACACTGAGAGGTAGGAGGGCAAAAATGATCACTCCCATTACACAGAAGAGGCAACCAAGGCTCAAGGAGTTTAAGTGATTTGTCCAAGGCCATACAGCCAGTAGGCGGACTTAGGTCTTCTGACTTTTAAGTCTACAAAAGAAGAAAGCTGGAAGGAAAGGTCAAAAAGGAGGAAAGACAGATAGAGATTGCACCAAAAGAGGGAGGTCCTCCAGAGACTATCCTTCAGCAAGGAAAGGGACAAGAAAGGCATCAGACCTGAGGGACAGAGCAGAGCAAAGAGCAGGAACCCTACTGAGAAAGTAGGATCTGCCTGGATCTGCTCCCTCTCCTCCCCACACACAGAAGGAGGAAGAGAGAGAAATAGTCCCAGAGAAGTTAATTGGCTTTCCTAGAGCCATAGAGCTACTCTCAAAGTCCCAAATTTCACAAAGCATTAAAGAGCTGGGAATTCGAGAGGGAGGGGGAGGGAAAGGGAGCAACCAAGAAGTAATGACACAGTCTGGTGGATGGAGACTCTTTCAGCCGAGCTGAGGCCTGTACCAGGCCAGTAAAGTTCTTTTAATTGCAAAGACCAAAC